ATAAAGCAGATCTATAATTGTTCAGTCTTATTCTTTTGTTAATGTCATCAGTGTACACATGTGGTTTCCAACCAATTTATAGTTCCTTTATTAAACAGGTGATACAATATAATTTATACGAATATACATATTGATTGCTGTTTTAATAGTTCCCGATATTGCAAAAAGAAAATATGAAGTATTAATTCATAACACAACAGCCATCCATACATTTGACCAAATCAAATACAAAGAATTATTTTTATTTACTGCTATTCATTTTATAGGTCGTTAGTTTTATCGTTTGAATTGATTCACATTTGTCATGCCTTTTATAGCTGACTAAAGGGTTTTGCGCATTTTTGAAGGCCATATGCTGACATATATTTGCTTATATCCATGTCATTTGAACTCTGGTCGATGGTGGTCTTATTGTCAATCATATCTCTACCATATGTCCTTATTTTCATATTTATCTCAAAGTCACAGCGAGGCCCTTAACACGGAGCAAAGATAAACCCTCACTGCAAGTTCAAAATGGTTTATAGGTCCGATTTGAGGGGACAAATTTTTGCTAAATGTCGATCGCGCTGTTCATTGATAATCACAGTTGACAAAATCATTAAAGTTAGTAAATCAATTTCATTATTTAAGTGCAATAAATTATATAAGGAGTCTGTACCAAATCATGAATATGACAATTGTTTTCCATCTCGTTTGATGTGTTTGAGCTTTTGATTTTGCCATTTGTTAAGGGACTTTCAGTTTTGAATTTTCCTTTGAGTTCGGTATTTTGGTTATTTTACTTTTGACCATGTGACCTACTAAATATTTGTAAATTTTTATGTGCTGAATACTTTTGCTATTTTCTGTTTGATTTTATCTATCATAATTTCTGCAAAAAATCATCTTTGAAGAGCATGAACTCCTGTAAGGGGTCAATTAGCAATTTCGACCATGTTGACTTATTTGCAGATTCTATTTTACTAAACATTTTACTATTGAAATCTTCTCTTTATCTTCTATATTTAAAAATGTTATAAAAGGGTAAAATCATCATTGAAAAAAAAATAACCATAAAATGTGTGAAAATGGTTATTCAGGGGTAATATCTCCTTTAAAAAGTCAGTGACAATATCGGTCATGTTAACTTATTTGTAACTCTCAATAAACTGATTTATTTTCTAATTTCTCTCTATATATAATTTTAATTTCTGCATTAAATGCAAATCATTGGTTTGAAAGAGTATTTCAAGTGTTATTACTCCATTATGGGGTGAATCGACGATTTCTTTCAGGTTTGACTTATTTATATGTCTAATATTTCTGAACATTTTTACTTGTAAAAGATTCTCACTATCTAGTAAATATAGTTTCCACAAGAAATGAAAACAAGGGTAAACATCATCATTGATTTTTTCATAAAAGCGTAAATTAGATCATTTAGGGGCAATGACTCCTATAAGGAGTCAGTTGGTGATATCGGTCTTGTTAACATATTTGTAAATCTTATTTTCTGAAAAAATTGTAATCTCACAATTTCTCCCTGTCAACTATGGTTTCCACAAAACATGTGAAAAGGGTTACAATCAATCATAATTGAAAGGCATTAACTTGTATAATGGGCCAATTGACTATTTCGGCCATGCTAATTTATTTGTAGATCTTTTTGTTCTAACCATTTTTTCAGTTTGAAATTTATTAATGTTTTGAAGGCAATAATCAAAAACTTCGAAATGTCATTCCTTAAAATGACATTTTAGTGGCAATAACTCTAAAATTGGTTATCCGATTTAAAAAAATCTTCCATACGAGATGGTTTTACTATATCTGCTTTAGCATTTGAGATATAAGCCAAAACTCTATGGTCTATTAACAGCAATAGGAACCATGTTTGTTGATAGATAAAATCCCCGGATATGATCTATAAAGTAAATTACTTATGGAACATTCAGGTATGGTTTGGTAACATTTGGACCCACAGTTTCAAAAAAATATATTTTAAAAGTTTACGGACAAGGACTACGATGGACGCCAAGTGATGATACAAAATCCGTGTCCTTTTAGACCAGTTACACTCAAAAGGAATTTTGGGGTGAACTTATGTTATATGTTATCCCGAAACTACATATGCCAAAATGTTTCAGGTTTGAAACGAGCCATCAAACGTTTCAGAATTTACGATATGGACAGAGGAATTGAAGAAACGTGCTACTGGAAATAATCTTAAATCGATTAATGTGTGATGCTGCATTACATGAAAATAATAATTACCAAGCAGATGAACATGGTGTAACTCTATTTGACGCTAATTATATTCAAATGTTTTCCTCCTGGGTTTATCTGTTTTAAGTAATATTTAAAATTACAAAGTTATATCCACGTTATCAACGGTTACTTTTATGTGTTTATGTCTTCAAATGTGATGCTATTATCAACAAAAAAATTATATAAACAGCTTCCTTGCTGACATCTATTTGATATTTTGGATTAGATGATTTATTCAGAAAAGCATTTTGATCTTTTTGAAAATTGAACAGACACATTACACATTAATAAAACAAAGAAATACTGTAATAAGGAGTCTATTTATAAAACTTAACAATCTTACTATAAAAAGGTATGACTTCGTGAAGGAATTATTTATTGTGATCAAAATATGGCCTTTATAAAGACAATAAAAGAACAATATATGAAAAACTAGCATCATCCACGCATTATCTCACAGAACATAGGGAGAATGGATATAAGAAAATGTGTGGTCAACATAAAAAAAACAGTCATTCTAAAAGTCATATTATATGGACCAAAAATAGGCAGCTATAGGTTGAAGATTTTCCTATGTTGTAGGTATCTACGAACAAAAAAAAAACAAAAAAACATCTGTAAAAGATACTAGAGGGACATTCAAACTCATAAAACGAAAATAAACTGACAACGCCATGGCTAGAAAAGAAAAAGACAAACAGACAAACAATAGTACATAAAACACAACATAGAAAACTAAAGCCTAAGCAACACGAACCCCACCAAAAACTGGGGGTGAGCTCTGGTGCTCCGGAAGGGTAAGCAGATCCTGCTCCACATGTGGCACCCGTCGTGTTGCTCATGTTAGTACAAACCCGGTAAATAGTCTAATTCGGTAGGTCACATTCGTGAAAAGGGAACGGGATTGTAGTTACGACATTAGTAACATATCCGCTATCATCTGTGAAACGGATATTCCATAACGGTCAACCAACTCGTGATGGCGTCCGTAAAACTTACGAAGTGATAATTTCAACTTCATCATTTGGAACTCTTGGTTTAATAGCTTCCTTGGGAGCAGCAACACTCTATCAAGGAAATCATGATAGGAAATACAAGTCCGGAAATATCGTATCAATTGGGAGATATATACTCCGTATGCAGGCGCAGCTGGAATGTTGCTACATAGAAATGGAAAATTCACAATTGGGAAGCTGAAATCATCTTTTTTGTCGTAAAGTTTTGTTTTCAACCGACCCTCATTGTCAATTTCTAGATGTAAGTCAAGATATGAGGCAGAATTAACTGTATCTGTTGTATCCTTTATCTCTAGTTCGATGGGATAGATGCGTTCAACATAGTCACCAAATTTTGAATTATTTAGTGAGAGAACATAATATATATAGTGGAAAATAAAGTTAAAGGATACTGCTAACTTCTTTTCTTCTTCCTAAGACGTTCCTGTATGAAGTCAGCCACATAAGAATAAAGGAACAAGTCGGTTAGAAGAGGGGCACATTTGGTTCCCATGGGAATGCCGATAGTTTGTTGAAAAACACGCCCTCCAAACGTAACAAATATGTTGTCAATCAAGAAATCAAGCATCTTAATAATGTCAGTTTCAGAGGATTTTTTGTTTGAATCAGAGTGATTTTTTACAAAGTAGGATTTATTCCTCCCTAAGACAAGATACTTGTATCTAAGTTGGCCATTCTTTTTAATGAAACAAAGCAATACCAACTCTTTCAATTTGTCTTTTAGTTTGGAATGGGGAATACTTGTGTAAAGTGTAGAAAAGTCAAATGTTTAAATACTGTTGCAAGATGAAAGAGTCTTAGATCGTGTGTACTCTAAAAGATCTTTGGAATTTTAATTGCTGATAAAATTGATGTTAACAATTTAGAAAGAGGTTTCGTGGAGCACTTGGAAGACCCAGTAAATGTACATGTATTCTGTTTCCATGTTTTATTCATCTACCAATGTTGAAAATTTGAATTGTATATAATTGTTTAATGTATTAGTTATTCTAGTACGTGTTGAGGGTGAAGATGCGTTAAAGACGTGGATAATCGCGAAGGCAAATGCCACACAGAAAAGTGAAGAATATTCAGTTGAAATTCTGTAAGATATAAATACAATATGAAGTAACCCCTCCCCAACAAACACAAAAAAAAAATTGACTTTAAAATGATATATGAATAAAAATCTTGATCATACATTTCAATTTTATACAGTAATCTATACCAATTAATATCAAAACGAACACAAAAACAACAACCTTCCACAAACTATGAAAAAACAAATTAACCACTTTTCTCTATAATCTCTACACCAGAGGTTAATTAGGGTACTAGTATATAAATATGGTTACCCAGTTTTGGCAGTATATCCTTGCTTAAATAGAGCGTTCTTTTTGTTGTTTGTGATGAATAAATACGCAAACACGTCCGATCGGAATGGAGACATTAAATCTGTTGTCTCGTGTAGGAAGAGAGCAAGTTAATGAACCCTTGCAACAAATCTGTGAGTTTCGCAGGTGGTCTATTGCAAGGCAATGTATCGTCCATCATTCCTGACGGCCCCGACCTTACAGAACCTACCTATTGAATTTATTGTGTTTGTTGTTTCTGACTGCTAAATCTAGCTGAAATTTTGCTTCATTAGTGCTGTCAGTAAGCAGTTTATTTCCTAGTGCGCATGCGTGTGTGTGTGTGTGTGTGTGGGTGTATATCTGTTTACAATATTCGCACAATAGATTGATATAAACGATAACATGTATAGTGAATTTTATTTAAAATATTATCTTTAACAAATATCTATATTTTATGAAAATACCCAATTTAGCATATATAATATCACATAGTATCAAATAATCTGATTACAATTTATGATAGTTTTTTTTTAAATCAACGTTGTTTGCTAATCGTTTTAATTTTTACACACAATTACAGGAACGAGTGCATGATGTAGAACATAGTCACTAACACTACCTAGAAATGTTCTCCGTATTTTACCAAGTCCCCTACTTCCGACAACTATATATTTCGCATTCTCTTTATTTGCCACATCAACAATACCAGGCCCCGCATCGCCATTGACTCGTACTACTTTACCATTTATCTAAAAAATAATAAAGGTAATTTACCAAGCTGTCAGTGAGTTAAAGATCGTATGAAATTTAGTATATTCCCAGTAACAGGTGGTCTAGCCACTATCACTCTATTCATAAATTGTGAATCATAATTTCATCACGGCTTCGGAATGGGATGTGCCTTACCAAAATTTGTTCCAACCGCTTACCAGCCATCAGCCATGGTCAACGAAAAAGAAATGTATAAAGTCTTCCTTGGAAAGAGTAATCCTTGAGTGCACTATTTCACCATCATATTGATATTATATATAGAAAACATTAATGTTTATCAAAACGTGATTTTTTCCCATTAAGAACCAGATCATGTTTTTTTTTGTAGTGCAACATATCCCATTATTTTTTCTACATCTCAAAACCTGGCATATTAAAAATATATTGAGAAATAAACTTTGTGTCATGTACATTGTGTACCACTGCTAATTTATGTTCCGCTTGATTCGTAAGCTGGGATTACACTGCTACTTTTGCATAGGTACTATTTCTGTACTTAAAATCTGTAGCACTGACAATTTACTTTTGATATTTAGTACTATTTCTTTACTTTAAAGTTATTGTAATATTTAGGTACCTGTATTTTACAGTACTTGATTTGTACTTAAAATGTTGGTACAGAAATAATACCAACAGTGATCACAATATTCCATGTTTGAAAATCATAACTTTAAGATATTTGAAATAGACAAACTTTCTAAATGTTAAAAATGTAATGGTGTAACCAAAAATCTGTAGTACTTAAATTTTAAGTACAAATCAAGTACTGTAAAATACCGGTACCTCAATATTACAATAATTTTAAAGTAACAAAATAGTACTGAATATTAAAAGTATATTTCCAGTACTACAGATTTTTGGTACAGAAATAGTACCTATGCAAAAGTAGTTGTGTACTTTCAATCATATACAAACTGATTGAAATATAGATCCTGTGTCCGAGCAATATTGATTCATACCTTATGTTTTTTTACGAGAGCATTGAATTTCTCTGCTATTTCCTTTACATGTTCTTCTTCTTTTGCTACAAGGTTTGTCACGAGTTTTGGGTCGACGGACATCAATGTTACAGCTACAATATACAACACATATTAATCAAATTTCGAGTCCAATATTGACTGTGTATGTCGTAAGCGGACCATTTATGCAGTTGTTCTATTGTTTAGTTTAATATTTCGATGTTTCTCTATTTGTTATGGTCACTATGCAACTTTTTGTTTAGTAATTTGTGGCCATGAAGGATTAAAAGTTTAACAAAAATATCGAACTCTAAAGCAATTTCTAAAAGGGGAAGTCCATAAAAATTGACAAAATAAAACGCTATAAATCAACGGAACAAGTGAAAAACATATGCCATATTCTGACTTGGTACAAGCATTTTCCGAAGAAAATGGTGGGTTTAACCTGGTTTGATAGCTAGTTATACCTCCCACTTGTATGACAGTTGTTTATAGGAATTTAGAGGTCTCCAGTCTGTCTTGTATTTTAATCCTTGGACTTTTTGATAGTACAATTCAATTTCAAAAACATATCCTATCATTATTTTTAATGATCAGAGACACATGTTAGTTATGTTAAAATATATATTACTTTGAATTCCATTGTGTACATCATGTTTGGAATCGTTCAAAGTAAGGCTTATCATATTACTTAGCAGACTTTTATTTAAAAAAAATATTTATTAGAAATATAATTCGAAAGATTTGTTGTTCTTAAGAAATTTCCGAACAGTATTGTTAAATAACTTCAAACATTAAATTGAAAAAAAAAAGAAAATTGTATTTACTAGTCCTATCATATTTTCTAGTCTAAATATTTTTCTAAAAATGGTACACGTGTGCAATTTCGAAAAGCGTCGCATTTTCAAATATAAGTCTAGCAAGATTCGATGTACAGTTAGTTTAAAATAAAAAAAAACTATTTGGACGTCCCCATCAGTAGGAATGTTGTTGATGTTGCGTACGTTTAGTTTATGGGAATTTCAGATACACAGCAAAATACAGTCGAACTTGCAATTCATTGTATTAGATAAGTATCTACATGTACAAGGGCTATCCGGTTGCAAGGTACTAACAATTTCATAGATGCTCTCATTTTCAGTGGCAGTCGACATTTGGTTTGGATTTAACAATACAGTTTAACCTAGCCACATGTTCGTGTTACTGTCCCAAGTTAAGAACTCGTCATTGGTTGTCTATTGTAAAATCTTGATGTTTTAGTAATGTAGGGAATTATGTATGATGGCAGATCCTTCCTATTCTCTGTTATATTTATAAAATTTTCTATTTAAAGCTTGACTTATTGTCTATTGATTAAGAATGTGTGTGGAATTTTTTTATGAGCTACAAACCTCTCGAATTATATTTCTAACAAATATATTGTTTTGAAATAAAAGTCTGCTTTTAAGTAACATGATAAGCCTTACTTTAAACGATTTTAAACATGAAATCAAAATCGTTATATATATTGGAAAATGAGATGTCATATGAGCTGCGTCGGATAGAAATCGACCTTATGCAAATGTATATCAATTAATCTGTTAACCTAATTCGGGTTGAAAAATCTCTACGGTTGTACGGTTGTATAAAGTCTATAACTGTTTGAAAATTGAGTTGTTATAAGAACCCTACAAAACAGGTCAAAATAATTTTTTTATTTTGTATTTGAATGTTCAAAAATCAATCAAAGTCTTATACATGTACACGTATACGTGCACTTGCATAAGGTCGATTTCTATCCGGCGCAGCTCATATTATTACTCAACATTGTATCATGTGTGTTGTTTTCTGCTGTTTTTCATTGTGTCATATTTGTAAAATATGTTTTGATTGCTATAGCATGTATATGCGTTTTGCAAATAAACTCATTCATTCATTCATTCAACTCTAGATATTGTTTAGTTGTCGTCTCATTAACGTGTACCTCGACATCTCCTTTCGTTAATCATTAAATAAGTTGCATAATTAATGATGCATTGTTATTTGTCGTCTTTTTCTTAAAGGACAAAGAAGAAATGCCATCTTTCAGAAATTTTCACATATATTGTTGACGCACTATCACAAATAATACTTAATATAATTGAATTTCAACATGTATGTGAACTCAAACAACAGTTAATGTGGAAACAAAGTCATATGCAAATAACATTTGTACGGTTATACAAATGGAGAGAATCATCATTTTAAAAACTGCAATGATTGGCTTGAATTCATAGTAATATTTTCTCATTATCATAGATTAATCTGGATAATTTCATGCATATGGCTAAATATGATTCAGTGAAATATTATAGGAATCGAGTGAACTAATTGCAGTATCATGTTTATGAGAGGCAACACCAGTTTATCGATGTTCAAGTCGCTCAAATCCATTTAGAATATACAAATCAAGGTAAACAAACAAATACTGAGGGAATAGCATGAACTCCAAACGAAGCGAGATCTGATTCGTCGACATGGTTAACGTCTCGCTGCTATGCATGCATCACCCGACATGTAAATACACTTGTTTCCATTGCTTTTCACCTTGTCAGTACAGTTACTTTTAGACCTGCCCAGCTAACAGTGATACATGTATAAAAATGATCAAAGTATGGTGACTGTATGGTCGTATATCGTATAATATCGTGTTATTCTGCTGTGTTCAATGTTGTCATTGAAGCGAGCATTCTTCGAGGTGATATTACGTGTCTCTAGTATTGCTTTAATTTGTAGCCGTAACTTCGTTGACTGATTATACTTATAGAAGTCAATGCATTTTCTTGACCTATTTTTTGTTTAAATTGCTGTTTTGTTATTTACTGATTGAGATAATCGGAAGAGGAATTAATACGACCCACAAGATAAGTTTGACCCCGCCACAACTTAACATACCTCTTACAAGTCTAGATGTCCTGTTTCTTAAAGTCTTTGTATATATGTTGTTTAATGGGAAATTCTTAATATTCTGTTGACTGTATCCATAAGTTGTCCAGAAATCAGGTCATTGAGAGTTTGATATATGGTATGAATACTATTGATCAAATTTTAACATCCTCTTTGTATCATCCGCCAATTTTAACTGGATGTTGAACACTAGTTTCAGTGTGTAACCGTCTGATTGACGTTTAGCTAACCGTGCGCCTTTTTAAAACTGGATGTTGAACGCTAGTTTCAGTGTGTAACCGTCTGATTGACGTTTATCTAACGTGCGCCTTTTTTCTAAACAGGATGTTGAACGTTAGTTTCAGTGTGTAACCGGCTTATTGACGTTTACCTCACCGTGCGGCTTTTTTTTTAAAAACTGGATGTTGAACACTAGTTTCAGTGTGTAACCGTCTGATTGACGTTTTAGCTCACTTTCCCTATTATTCGTTATAAAGTTCATCAACTTACGTTGTGAATTTATCCGATTGTATTCTGCGCAATAAACAATTATCAGTCTGTCACTTGATCTTAAACCATTCTTCACGTACCCTAATATAGGAAAATATATTATGGTAAACTGGCATTATTACATACATAAAAAAGTTTTCATTGACAAGAAACAAAAATCAATGACGTTTCTATTCAATTCACATTCACAATAATAAAGATTATTTTAGCCATCATCAAACTAGATCTCGTTAATAAAAAAACAAAAACAAAAATCCATATTAATGTACATTTATTTTTTGAAGATGTTTTCATCTGTAGGTTTATAGTCAGATCATACAAAATTTTGATAGATTCAATGAATCGTAAATCTGGGTATTTCAAGTTACGCCTATGGTATAAATTCTGATGCAAAATCTATCATAATTCTCTCTTGGACAGGTGGTTGAACATCCATTTTTAGCTCACCTTCCCCAAAGGGCCAAGCAAGTGATATTTTCTCATAACTTGGCGTTCATCAAATTTTACAAAGAACCTTCTCCTCTGAATTACCAGGCAAAATTTAACCAAACTTGGTCACAAACATCATTGGGGTATGTAGTTTAAAAAATGTGTCCGTTGACCCCGCCTGCCAAGCAACATGGCCGGCATTGTTAAAAATAGAACATTGGGGTAAAATGCAAGTTTTGTCTATATATTTACCTTGAAAACCGCTATGAATAGAGAAAATCTGACAAGGGCAGATATGTTCGGAATGATAAGATCTACTTATTGTCTACTTACATCAATACTGTCAGACGACTTTTTATAACAGATATTGCCCTTTAATGACGAAATTTACCATTTTCTTTTCATTTTTGCCTATTATCTTGAAAATTATAATAGATAACAGTAAACTTTATATAGCCAAATTGATCAGCAAATCAAGATCTACTGAAAGGCCATCATCGCTGAAATCCTCAATAGACTTCTTATTGGAGTAATTGCCCTTTGATGACGATTTTATCATTTGTTTTGCGTTTTTGCTTAATATCTTGAAAACTATATTAGATAAACTTTAACAATCAAAATGATCAACAAGACAACATGTACTAATAAGTTAGAAAGCCGAAATCGTCCGACGACTCTTTAAAAGAGTTATTGCCCTTTTATTGACTATTATCTTTAATTTATAGTAGATAGATAGAAACTTCAATAAACAAAAAATTATCAGCAAGACAAAATCTACAAATAACCCTAATGACCGAACTCGTCAGTCGACACCTTATTGGAGTTGTTGCTTTTTAATTAGCATTTTTACCCATTTTTAGTGTGTTTGCCTATTATATTGAAAACTTCTTAAGATAGGTAGACACTTTAAATAGCAAAAAATGATCAGCAAGACAAGATCTACAAAATAAGACAAGTTTTGCCAAAATCGTTAGTATCATAAATCTAGGTATTTCAAGGTACGCCTATGGTATAAATTCTGATGCCAAAAAAATGAATAAAAACACTTAATAAATTTCATGCGTCCGAGGCAAAATCTATCAAAATCTCTTGGAAATGTGATTGAACATTGACTTTTTATGTTCAGCACAAGTGTCATTACATATTATTGTATTATTGCTAACTTTTGTTCTTATATATCTTAATGAATCACGTAAAAAGGATAACCGAAAACCACAATCCCCTTCCTATACATAACAAGAGCAACAAGACAAGATAACGGACATTATTTTGGTTGACTCTCCTTTCATTTGATATAATTTATAGATAAAAATAGAACATACCGACCTTTGTGCGTTTAAAGGTTGTTTTTTTTTAAATTAAATAACCTTACTATGGTTGCTAAGAACAAAAAGTATTGAAAGCAGTGGGGATTCATCAAGGAACCCGAAGGAGTCGAAGACGATCTTTCCTTAACAAACCTAAGATCTTTAACCTTTAACTTGTAGGCTCCAATTCGCTAAAAGAAATCTTATACACTGCTACTTTTGCATATGTACTATGTCTGTACTTAAAATCTGTAGTACTGGAAATTTACTTTTAATATTTAGAACTATTTCTTTACTTTAAAATTATTGTAATATTTAGGTACCTGTATTTTACAGTACTTGATTTGTACCTAAAATTTTGGTACATAAATAATACCAACAGTGATCACAATATTCCATTTTTTAAAATCATAACTTTAAGAGATTTGAAATAGACAAACTTTCAAAATGCTGAAAATGTTACGATGCAACCAAAAATCTGTAGCACTTAAATTTCAAGTACAAATCAAGTACTGTAAAATACAGGTACATAAATATTACAATGATTTTAAAGTAACAAAATAGTACTGAATATTAAAAGTAGATTTCCAGTACTAAAGCTTATTGGTACAGAAATAGTACCTATGCAAAAGTAGCTGTGTAGCAGGATAGCATACCTGTATTTCAAAACTGATTCTTACTTTATAATGTTGATGTTAACAGTAATATCTGCTCGTGTAATAGGGAGGATGCTACATGTTATAAGAAAAACATTTAGAAATCAAACATGCCTATCAGATGTGTAACATTTTCTTATCATTTTCCATATTTATCGATGATTCCTTTGAGCTTGGCTTACAATTTATGTGATTTACGTTTTTATCAGTATCGAGTTATCGAGAATTATTTCCAATGAAAAAGAAGCCCAACAATACAACGTCAAAGTGGAATTATTTTCAATTTGTGGTAACAGTGGAGCGTACATATGTGTGTGATGTAGTAAAATATACTTGAGATTATAAAAAAAAAGCACGCAGGTAGACAAACAGAAATATCATAAGGCTTCATCTCAGTACTTTACGACAACGTCAATCTTTGGTAATTGACATACATGTCAAGGTTAAGCGGATTTTTGAATTTTTTTATTTGAATAGTATATGGTCAAGTCGGTTCATTATTTGAACAGTTTGTCCTGACTAGCCGTTACATGGTCCTACTTCAAGGCTGTGTCCTCATTTATTATCATTAAATGGCTTGCATTCTTTGGTCGCCACGAAACTGACAACCTTGGTGAATGAGAAAATTGAAGGGATATTGTGTGTCTTTGATGAAAGAAAAATATAATCTAAAGAAACATATGTTTGACATGATGGACATTTACTGATATCAAATAATATGTCAAACTAGTTGTATTGATAAAATCCCTATGACATCTTGATACAACAGATGTCTATAAATGGGTCATATGGTCAAATGAAATGTAAATACTTTTCTTTTTTCCAAGTAAATGCCGAAAAATTGATAATTTTCCATTTTAGTAAATAAGCATCTTTAGTATTTTATAATGATTCGACTAAAAAATGTATGTTCACTAGGCAGTGAAAAAGAATTATATGAACTTTGGCAATCAAATGAGAAACTAAATAATCTTATAAATTATATTTAAATGATTTTAAAAACTTACAGTTAAATGCATTTTCTGCATGGTCACTTCCATCCATTGCCACCACAATAGTTCTCTCTTCTCCGGCCATTTGTTTATTTTATAATATTATTGCTATTAAATTTGATAACGAAATATTTATCAGGTCTAATAGATTACATACAAACATACGTAAGGCATCATATAGAGAAGGTCATTATCGACTGGTTTCCGTTGTTAAAACAATCAGTTGAACACCGTGTACCAGATAACATGATATGGTGCATCATATAATCCTTCCTAGGCAACTGACTGCCTAAGAGGGGGCCCGCTCCAGTGATTCCCTAAATAATCAACCTAATTTTTCCCACAAAAGGGGGTCCCGGCCCCTGGAAAACCCTCTAAATCCGCCTCTAATAATGACTAAAACGTGAAATGATACGGAAACGGTGTTTGTTTATATAACATTTAGAAAAAGACAATGATATTAAAGTGTATGCATATTTGTGGTTTTTCATAGCATTGTGATGACTAGTCTACTATATTACACACAGAGGTTCAGTAGCGGATATTGTAACCATGTATATTTATCTACACCAAGATGTCGTTAAACGAAATTGAAAACCCTGCATCTATCACGCTTTTCAATAACATATGGTCAAATCGCTGAAGGTTAAAATAAAATATAATTTACATAGGCGACAAAGGTAGCTTTTTTTGGTTCCGTGTTTTCACTTAAAAAAACTGTCAAATTCTGAATTTTCAACACCTTTGGATGTGAATAAAATTGCAAAACACAGTTCAACATTTCGACGCAGTCCATAAAGAGAGCTGACACATTAAAACAAAATGAAAATTATGCGATTGTTTTCTACAAAACAAAATAATATCGATCAATTATTAATTATTTAAACTATTTAAAAAAAATGCATGTTAACATGTTAAACCTTGCCAGATTATGAAGTACCTGTACATATCCAAGCTAGGCAACAGTAGTTTACTGATGATTAAATCTCAAAGATACGAATCAAAGTAATTAACAAATAAACTGAGGGAACTCCAAAAGGAGCAAGACCGAGTGTGTCGAGGGAACTCCCAAAGGATCAAGACCGAGTGTGTCGAGGGAACTCCAAAAGGAGCAAGACCGAGTGTGTCGAGGGAACTCCCACAGGAGCAAGACCGAGTGTGTCGAGGGAACTCCCAAAGGATCAAGACCGATTGTGTCGAGGGAACTCCAAAAGTAGCAAGACCGAGTGTGTCGAGGGAACTCCAAAAGTAGCAAGACCGAGAGTGTCTAGGGAACTCCAAAAAGGATCAAGACCGAGTGTGTCGAGGGAACTCCAAAAAGGATCAAGACCGAGTGTGTCGAGGGAACTCCAAAAAGGATCAAGACCGAGTGTGTCGAGGAACCTCAAAAAGGATCAAGACCGAGTGTGTCGACAGGATAAGCGTTTTATTCTATACAACCATCACGCGCCATGCGAATCCACACTCAGTCAAAATATCATAATCGGGAATTGGGCACAATTGGTAACATTACATATCATACGAATATTCTGGTATTTATAGATCTAAGACCGCGATCACATGTCGCCAGTTATTGTAAACATAGACACATCGTATCGGTCAACCAATTTGAGATGGCGACCGTATAACTTTTGTAGTGTCGATTTCAATTGTTCTTCCTCATAACTCTGTTGGAGCAGCTTTTTATGTAAAGAAACACCACCGTTCATGGAGTCCGTATATTGTGGACATAAGTACGAACGTAACGTAATATTGAGATATGCCTACGTTCGTCTGTGTCAATACCAAGGAAAAGATCAAGATATGAAGCGGACCACTTAGGTTTGGTGGTATCCTTAATCTCAAGTTCACCGGGTAACATGAGATGCAAGCACTTAGTGAGTATAATTCTATAAAACAATACATAAAAAACGTGAGACTGGGCTACATGATCCCCACCAAAAACTAAGGTTTATCTCATGTGCTCCGGTAGGGTAAGCAGATAAAATACTTCACTAGTGCATATGTAGGTACGGTAATACCGGTATCACTCCTGTCAGATCTAGAAAATGTACAATGACTATGTAGAGTGAAAAATTCCACCAGAATTTTTAAAGTTTTGGAACCAATATTCTCTTAAATGTATGATGTTTTAAGGACCAACATTAGTAAGGATGCATTTTTCATAGGATATTGCAGAGAAATGAATTGAACAAAAAACCAAAAAGATGTGTTTATGTATCATAATGGCTTGATTTTTAACAATTTACCAAATGTTCAAAAACGTATTTTTCAATACTTTGATTATATAGGTTTTGAAGCGTATGGGATATAATCGCACACGTTTCAAACCCTAACAAAATTAAATATACCTTTTTAGCTTACCTGGCCGAAAAGACCAAGTGAGCTTTTCTCATCACAAAGTTATGATAGATAGAAGGAAACTTCATATAGCAGAAATGATCAGCAAGTCAGACTAGATCTACAAATAAGTCATCATGGTCAAAATCGTTAGACTTCTCCTTATCGGAGTTATTGCCCTTTAAGGAGCATTTTTATCGACTTTTTTTTGCAATTTTGCCTAATGTCTGAAAAAACTGTAATAGATAGTTAGAAATTTAAATAAACAAAAATTATCACCATGACAACATAATATTAACGTAATATTCTCATTTCTAAATAGGTCTTTTGATTGACTGTTGCTTGCTTAATTTTCAATGGCAAATATTTCATATGAAAATAAAGAGATGTGGTATGATTGCCAATGGCAAATATTTCATATGAAAATAAGGAGATGTGGTATGATTGCCAATGGCAAATATTTCATATGAAAATAAGGAGATGTGGTATGATTGCCAATGGCAAATATTTCATATGAAAATAAAGAGATGTGGTATGATTGCCAATGGCAAATGTTTCATATGAAAATAAAGAGATGTGGTATGATTACCAATGGCAAATGTTTCATATGAAAATAAGGAGATGTGGTATAAGTGCCAATGGCAAATATTTCATATGAAAATAAAGAGATGTGGTATGATTGCCAATGGCAAATATTTCATATGAAAATAAGGAGATGTGGTATGATTGTCAATGGCAAATATTTCATATGAAAATAAGGAGATGTGGTATGATTGCCAATGAGACAACTATCCTCTAGAGATGTGGTATGATTGTCAATGACAAATATTTCATATGTAAACAAGGAGATGTTGTATGATTGCCAATGAGACAATTATCCTGTAGAGATGTGGTATGATTGTCAATGGCAAATATTTCATATGAAAATAAGGAGATGTGGTATGATTACCAATGAGACAACTATCCTCTAGAGATGTGGTATGATTGTCAATGGCAAATATTTCATATGAAAATAAGGAGATGTGGTATGATTGCCATTGAGACAACTATCCACCAAAGTTCAAATGAGGTGGATGTAAGCAATTATAGGCAACCGTACGGCCGTACATGCATATCAAAGACTAATACATACTAATAGTGTATTCAATAAGTAGGTTCAGCAAGATAGGTCGACCATGATGGAAGGTTAACACTTTTGACTGTCAGTGGAAAATAAAGGTAATTCTATGCTAGATGGGGGTAGACATTTTGCCACTTAAAGGTTCATCGGAGAGTTGTTGCAAGGGTTCTTTAACATGCATAGATCGTGACACTCACCCTTAACGAGGCATCGGATTTAACGCCCATATTCTAACCGGACGTGGCTGGGTATTTATACATCTCACACAGTCAAACGGACGCCCCACTTTAACAAGGGTTTCACTGTCGAGCGGTAGAAGTTCAGGGATAATCATATTTCTAAATCTTGTACAAACGCAAGAATATTAAAACTAATGTTTTCATGTATTTTTTTTATATTTTATTCAACGAGGATCAGTGGCGGATCCAAAAGGGGGGGGGGGGGGGTTCCGGGGGTTGGAACCCCCCTTTTTTTGGCCGATCAATGCATTTGAATGGGGACATATGGTTGGAATCCCCCCTTTCTCCTGGGTTTGGACCCCCCCCCCCCCCCTTTTTAAAATGACTGGATCCGCCCCTGAGGATGTAGATCTTTTAGAAACATCAAGTGTGTTTTAGGGCGTTTCTATATAACTTGTCAATAAACTCAATCTCTCTAGAATTGTACAAGGTGCTAGAATAGTCTTCATTTAAATTATTTAGTAATCCTGTTAAAGCACATTAGTATTGTGATTGTTATTATATCTTTGAACCAAAATATGCGAAAATGCCTCCACTGTCTCTAACGTTCGGCCATGCTTTCACTTCTCAAAACGTCAACTATATATCATAATGTCATGAAATCCTTGTATATCTTTTATACCTATCATATGACCCCCTTTTCCGTTATACAATTGAAAAGGGTAGGGTGTTTACTATCATTGCACAAACCATAAATTGTTTGCACTCAAACACAACGTTTATACATTCGACTGCAACCTAAGATAGAAATACATCTTGACGTAAAATCTGAGCGTAAAATTTATTCTTTTGTAATGTGTATTTCATTAGTATAATCAACAATAGATTGGAAGTAGTAGGGATTACATTTAAATTATTCATCACATTTTAATGTGTTCTTTAAACTCGTTAATGGTCTCATTATCCCGACATGGTGCTATATTAATGGTTAGCAGACGACATAAATCGATCGCATCACGTTCTACTGAGTCATTAAATTAATGTATCGTATTTATAAAGTGATTTTCCATAGCAACGGACTAGTGAGCTCATTAAATAGTTAAGATACAACTCTCAAGGACAAAGAAAAGGTTATAATTTGTCTGTTGAATAATTCTCGTTATGAAATACTCGTATAAAGTGTACACCTGTTAGAATTTAGAGGACAATAACATGGATACGAATAGACGCTTTGATCAGTTTCCGGGTTATATGTTTGGGAAGTCGAAAATGATTCGTAACAAAAACTGGGAATTGTTAGAAATACAAGTACTCAAGAAAATGATTGACAATCACTACGAACTTCTTAATTCGCGCCACACTAATGCCATGATAAATGCTAGGAAAAATCTTGTTTGGAAAAGAATAGCTGATAGTATCAATGCATTAGGATTACATAGACGAACCGTTAGGGAATTGAAAATTAAATGGTCTAACATGAGATTAACAGAGAAGAGAAAGTCATCCGGAAGTCAACACACAACAGGTTCACAAGATTATGATTCCGAACGTACAGATGATGTAGTAGATATTTCACAATCGTCGTACGAGTCTGAGAGCCAGCTTAATTCACCGGTTGAACAAGGTTTGTACGACATAAGTTTTAGATATTTTTAGCTCACCTGGTCCAAGGTGCCATCAACCATATGAACTATTGACATCACTTGGTGTCCGTCGTCGCCCCACGTAGACTTTTATAAAATATTCTTTTTTGAAACCACCAATTTTAACCGTACGACTTTAATTGTCCAAGATAAAGCAAGTGATCTTTTGTCCAATCCAATCATTATGATCAACCAACTTAGCCTCCATGCATAAATTATACAATAACTATTATGGAGAGAGAAAATCTGTCCGGGTAAAACAATCTTCCGAATGTCATGCTCTTATATATCCTTCGAAAATGATCAGATGATTCCTTATTTGAGTTATTGTCCCTAAAATTAATATTTTGACATATTTTAGCGGTATTACCCATTCACATACACGGTTTTTTCTTTCGAGTCCTTACAGATCGCAAATATTCACAGATGCTTAGGATTTGGCCACTTTTACCGCTTTAAGAGTTGTTACGAGCTATTAACCGTTTGTTACGGATTATTACGAGTTCTTACGATGTAACTACGGCCAAATTCCAAGATTGGTACGAGTTGTCACGGATAACTACGAGAAACTTACTGGCATTTTACGAGCTTTTACGGATTGTTACGAGTATATTACTGATTATTACAATTCATCGAAGCTTTTGCTTGTTAGTTACGACCTGTTTAAGTAATGTTAAGAATAGTTACGAATTAGATACGAGTATTTACGAAAAAATATACCAATCATGCAAATATCAATGTATCATCATTCTATATTGTAGAGTAGACATTCAGAGATTTGACTTCTATGACTTCTTAATTACAACTGAAAATGGAATGTTCGATTTTGCAGCTTTTGTATCTTTCCCCAAATCGTGAATAATACGTAAGATTACGTATCGTTTCTTAAAGCACTTGTAACTACACGTAAAGTGCTCGTAATAACTCGAATAAAATCGTAAACAACACGTAAGCAATCGAAATAATCTGTAAACTTATCATTACGGTAACAAATCGTTTAAAAAAATGTTACGAGTCATTTACGGATTCTTGCGAGTAGTTTACGGATGGTTACGTGTTCTTGCGAGATCCGATAAGTTTACGATACTTACTGATTGCTACGAGCTATTTACGGGAAAAGTCAATCCGTGAACAATCGTAAGAAGATTTTTGACATGTCAAAACAATTGCCTCCCCTTTCACGGATCCTTAGAGAGAGTCTGCGAGTTGCGACGAGTTATTTACGGATACCAGTAAGTTGCTACAGAGGCTTGCGATTGACTACGAAGTGGCAATTCGTAAGGACTCGTAATAAAAATCCGTGTTTGTGAAGAGGGCATTAGCCTACATTATAGTATTTATTGAATTATTATGGATAAGCACCAACTAGAATCAATAAATTTAAAAATCAGGAGTATATGATCTACACAAATTATAAGAAGACTGAAATCATTGATTAAATCATGAAAGGAGTTATTTCCTTATGATGAAGATTCTTTTTTTGGCAAGCATAAGCATCTTCAAAGGTTTGAAATAGATAGACAAAAACTGTATTGATTAGCATTATGCAATCTACAATATATATATATATATATATATATCTTTATTCTCATCACCAAATACATAGGTACAGAGAAGACATGCATGTAATACAATACATTAAATACATAAACATAAATATACAATATATACAACAACAACAAAGACAAAAAGAAATTATTCAGGAGGACACACTCGCTTGTTTAAAATTCGTATAAACTTACATAAATTTATGAGATCTGTCCTATTTGTAGACGATATAATTTCAGTAAATAATATAATATTTGGCCTTATACTAAAATTTCGATTTATAAATTTATTTCTCTCTTCTCTAAAATGTGAACAATTAATAATGTAATGGAATTCATCTCCAATATCTAGCTTACATAAATTACACTTTCTTTTTTCCCTTTCTATATTGTACCATCTTCCAAGTTCGACTGGAAGTTTATGGTTACATATTCTAAATGTACATAATGTTAAAAAATCTTTTTCGTCTAAAATATTAAAATATTCTTCAAAACACAATAAATTCTTAAAAATACGATAATTCAGGGCTTTGGAACAGTTTTGAATAGTCTCGTTCCATGTTTGTTTGAATTGATCACACAATCTTACTTTGATATTATATTTCAACCATACATCATTTAAAAAGAGCTGTGTGTTCCAGATATAAGAAAATCCACATTCATCAAATATATTTTTAACACATATCAACCATCTAAAATCTATGTTTTTAGTACAATACAAGTGGTACAGTAGCTTATAAATAATACAAGAATACTTTGACTGCTTTCCCATAATTAATTTAGACCAGTAGGATATCATCCTTAATTTTACATCAATAGCAAGTGGAAAACGTCCTAGCTCACCGTATATCATACAGTTGGGAGTGGAAGATTTCAGATTTAGGAGCAACTTACAAAATTTTAGATGAACTTTTTCGATAATATCACAGTTACTGAATCCCCATATTTCTGATCCATATAACAGAACAGGTTTGACTACTCTATCAAAAAGATCTAACTGACAAGAAACTGATAGGCTATGAAATTTCCCCCTTTTTAGTATCTCATACATCGCTTTTGTCCCTTTTTCAGCTTGTGATTTAATTGCCATTTTATAATTTCCCGTTTTTGTCAATAAAATACCCAAATAACTAAACTCTTGAACGATTTCTATTTCTTGATCATCTAAAACAAAGTGTAAATTGTCTGGTAATCTTCCATATGAAAAACATAATATTTTGGTTTTGGATACATTTACTTTTAATTTCCAGTAGTTACAGTATTCATTAAAAAAATCTAACTGTATTTGAAGATCAATTTGTCTGTTTGAATGAAACAACCAATTGACTTCCTTTACATGTTATAGTTGTTTTTTCCCTTAACTCACAATTTTTGACAAATTTTCACGTTATTCGCCAATTCGCTTGAACTTTGTTGGATAACTTTGAAAATGTTATTTAGACAATTTCGAATAGTTTTGATAGTAATTAATTAATTAATCATTAGAAATTAAAGGATTCGAAATTAAAAGAAAATATGGTATTTATTACACATTTTATTTTCCTACACAGATCATATACAACAGACATATCACATCAGTATCAAGATTAAGTTACAATAATTTAGCACACACGATACACATATCAACAATATAGCACAAATAATAAACAACACATTACATATACGGTGAATTGTAATACATTTTTGTTCACATCTTTGTCTTTTGGTCTTTATGGAGAGTTGTCCCATTGGCAATCATACCACATCTCCTTATTTATATATTGATACAATTGAGACTATCAACTGATTCATTAGAGATAGATTTGTACTTGAATAACCCAATCTTTAAACTTTTCTAGCGTTTTTTTTATCATTAGCGTTTTTCCCTTTTATACATGTTATCATGAAAACTATGATACATACAAAAAAATTGAATACAACAAAAGTCATTAGCAATCCAGGATCTACAAAAAGTATAATGACTGAAACCATTTATTGAAAACATTTCTACCTATAATAGGACTAATTGCCCTTATTGAATGAGGATAACTGACCTATACAATGACTGATTGAGTCTTTGATTGTTGCTTGTTTATCATTTAGTCGCAATTATTGCATGTATATTAAATACGAAAAACAATTAATAGTTCAAAATAGACAGCTTCTGCGAGAAATCGTGACTGACTAAAAATGAGGGCATGTTGGAGATAAAAACAGAAATTCAGCCTTGCAAATGTGACCATGAAAGAGTTGTTGCAAAGAAAATACGTATTGTTCAAAAATACTGTTTTGAACAGTACCATCACTATAATATACATATTTTTTTACCAATCACAAAAACGATCATCGATGCCGTCTATACTGTTACCGTAGTAAAGCGTCTGTAATTTTAAAGTGAAAAAAAAAATCGAAAAGGATATCAACTGCGTCGGGAAATTGTAAATAAAACATTAATAAACAGTTACTTAAAGCAACCTCAAAGTTCTAAATCTGACGATACAATATATATGCCCCTTCACTATTTAAACGACCGCTGTATTATCAGATATAATACAGCAAAATCACTAAAATTGATGACAAACATGGTGTTTTGTGACAAGGACACAACGTTCTGTCCACAAGAAACTAAACGACGTAGATGTTAGTAACTATAAGTCACAGTACGGCTTCAACAATGAGCAAGATCCATACAGCATAGTAAGTTATAAAAGGCCCATACTTGACAAAACGTAAAACAATTCAAACGTGAAAACCAACAGTCTGATTTATGTATAAAACTTATTTATTAGATGTTTTAGTTCGAAAATCAGTACGGATCAACTAATCGTAACAAAATTATGTCTCCTTGAAATGAATTTTATATTGAAGATTGCATAGTAAGCACTCACACCTACATTTCATATTGGATTTTTATGACATTTATAATTTTATATCAAAGATGTGTAACAGCAAGGTCTTGCAGATTTTAATAATCAGCGCGACCCAGCGCCGATCAACAATTTTTCAGGAGTTATGTCCCTTGGAAATATAAATTTTTAAATGGACCATAACATTGTAATCGATCTCTCGCGTAAATTTTTTTTTTTTTGTAGGATATTTAAGAAAAAGTTTAAAAAATATTTCCGAGTTGTTGCGCTTTGACAGATAAAATATGCGCATTGTTGTGGGGGGAATAGGAAAGCTTTTGTTTGTAATCTATTTTGTTGTTTATTGCAGGGATAACTCAAAATCAAGTAGATGCAATCGTTTCAAATGATGTTACAAGTGATAAGAGTACTGTGCAACCGCAACAACTTTCCTTATGTGACTCTAATATTATCCAGAACCATCATCTTGGAAATGCTAATGAATCAAACAGACTTCTTTACACCGGGAGGCTGAATACTGTTGAACCAAGCTTGCCAGTCCAAAAGCAACACTCAGTTAATATTGAAAATGAAATGTCAACTAGTCAAATAGCATCATGGCCTCTTGCCGAATATTCATCGGATCAAGTCAGACAGAACACGGGTGAAAGCAATATTCTGAATTCGTCCAAAGACCATGTTTTGGACTTTAGTCAGGATAGAATCTATTTGCCCGGTGTAGTGATAAAACCAGAACCAAATAACTTCCAACAAATGGCAAATGTGAAGGACACAGTTAGCTCTGTACGTAGAATTCCTGAATTTCAATCGACTGCCATACAAACGGACTGGAAATTATCTGGTGTTGGAGATTACGTATGCCCATCTTTATCCGTTTCCGAAAGAGATATCTCAGCCATTAAATTCGAAATTTTGAACCTTGAAAAAGCAAATCTACTTTTGAAAAACGAAAACATGGAATTACAAAATGCCAAGTTAAGATTGGAAATATCTAGACATCAAAGTGACGTGTAACATATAGAGCTAAGATGCCATATATAAGTACATGTTTAAATGCAAAATCGCCATGCTCTATGACATATTCCAGATTATCCGTTTTAATTTGTCGTCATAAGAGTAGAGTCGTGTTTAAAGCTTGGATAAACTGCAGTATTTATAATTGGTTGCCGTAAGGGAAAGTCATTGCTCAATATGCAACTCCATAGACATACTCTTTTCTTAGCAAATGTATTAATAATACAATATATCGGTTAATGCCTTTCATCTCGACATGAATTAACAATGCATCTAGGTATTGTCGACGACAAATGGGTTTAACAGAAATATGACAACCAGGAACTGACGTTAATTCAAGAAATATCGTAAATGGTGAAAAATGAATAATCTTATGAAATACCATTTTACAGTGTATTTACAAAAAAATAATGTTAATTTAGTCGGAATGTCTGGTATATTAGATGATGATGCGAAATAAATATTAACAAGAATAATATTTGTATAGTTCGGAGAAAAGTTCTAACATGTTGTAAATGACGTGAAAACATTAAATACTTTTATTTCCCCCTGTGGTTTATCATGAATTGTGTCCAAGAACATAATTTGCAGGTGGCAATACACTTTATTAAATAGGTAACGATCTTTCTATGTCAAACATATTGTACTGTGTTGAGATGGGTATCTCTCACATAAACAGATTTTGTACACTCCACATCTGATATCACTATTCTATAATTAAATCGTATATGAATAAATACTAAGTTTCTAAAATCTACGTAATTTGTTCTCTGGTGGATAGTTGTCTCATTGGCAATCATTCCTTATTTTCTTATTTTTTTATGAATAAATAACGAATAATATTAAACAGCTTTTCCTTATTCATGTTGTTAGCGAAAACGTTCACAAAGAATTGTTCGTACAAGTGCTGACCAACTGGAAAATTGCATGAATCGATCAGGTTCTATATCATTTTGCTCAGGAACAGCATTTGTAACTTTGACATTTAAAAAAGATTGTTTGGTCATCATCTGGAGCAACGAGTTGAAGTTCGTTTTCGTAAGTTTCTTTCAGTTCCAGTAAGCATCCGCTCTTGTCGCACATCATTCAATTGACTTGAAGTAACATATTTCCGGAAACGTTCTCTATTGACGACGTAAACAAAGAATCTCATCGTCTTATTACTTATATTACCTAAGAATAATTTGCTGTCTTTAAAGAATTTCTAGATATTTATGGGTAAATGTAGATCATATATGATGCTCTATGTGATTTTATATTTGGTTAATGTTTTCTGAATGTCCTTGATGAGTATTACTGCGTCCTCCTTTGTTTGGCATGATTTAAGACTATCATTTCCGTAGAGGTTCCTTATCACAAGATTTGTCACGTGACTGTCTAACCTGAACCAAAACGCTGTAACGGTCACACTGTTTGTTAAGGGCTTATACAGCTGCACGTCGAATGATGTGATAACTTGTGGGTACAATAGAGGGACGAAAGATACCAGAGGGAAAGTCAAACTCATAGATCGAAAACAAACTGACAACGCCATGGCCAAAAATAAAAAGACAAACAGACAAATAATAGTACAGATGACACAACATAGAAAACTAAAGACTAAGCAACACGAACCCCACCAAAAACTTTCGCTTTCCCAAGCGTTGCGTACCACTACTACCAGGCGTGCGGAGGTATGCCATATTGCTATGGCATTTTCGATTGATGACGTGTAGCTTCTTGGTAGTAGGATCACCGAGATGAAGCACTTGACTTCTAGTTATGTAAAATGTTTCAAGCACTTTTATGGTTTTTCGTTAAGATTTCAATTCATTAGCTGTATTATGAGAGAGGGGTTCGTCCCAAATCGACCGTTTCTGACACTTATGGGCAAATTGGGAGCTTTCCGTGTTTTAAAACAGGAGCTAAAAATGGGATCGTAGATACTTTTAAATGTTTATAATATTCTTTCTTGGATATGAGGTTTTCTTCTGACGACTATTGGAATAGGACATAATCAATGTTTAGAACCTTACGCAATCCAAGCGACCGTTGCTAAAGTTTATTGTCCGCCTCGAAGTCTAGGTGCCTATTGTTGAACCAACGTTGCTGTCATAAATTCCAACTTATTAGAGGAGCCCATTTTATGAAGGAAGATCGAGGTTTTCATATTTGTCTTTATATTTTCTGAGTGTCCGTTATGAGTTTGAATGTATTTTTTTTGTTGGGCTTATTGGTGTATCAAAATTTTTATAGAAGGTTCATCACAGGATTTTTCACGTGACTGTCGAATTCCTTATCAGATGTCTGAGTCTAGACGCCGCAACAGCTCTTGGACCATCTACTAAAACATAAACTCTCAAGCAATATTCGATTAGGTCCTTGTCTTGGACGTTGTCAAAACAATTCAAACGAGAAAACTAACGGCCTGATTTATGTACAAAATTATGAACGAAAAACAAATATGATATACACCAACAAACGACAACCACTGAATTACAGGCTCCTGACTTGGGACAGGCACATACAGAATGTGGCGGGGTTAAATTAGTTTGAAGGCGCCAACCCTCTCCTAATCTGGGACAGTGGTGTAACAATAATTACTATGAATAGAAACCATTATGCCAACATTTTGTTTTATTAAATACCATTATAAGGAAGTGAATATAGGAAGTACACAAACAATTTTGAAGATATCAGTTAGAATATATTGAATTGAAATATTATTTAATGTTTAGATTGAACAGCCCGTCTATAAGGTCACGAACATTTTGCGTTTTATCTAGAGCTTTTAGATATGAAAAGAAAAACTAACAGATCCTCTTATTAACGCTACTTATTACTGGTACAATATGCTAAGAATATAATAAATGCGTGTTCTTTTTGATTCAACTACATGTATAGATTTGACGGATATCAGATAGTTAGGAATACATTTTGTCTGTAATGACATAGTAGTTCAAGAAAGTTTGACCTTAGATGGATTTGTCTTTTCTTTTAGGTTACTTTTGGGCATTGACGTTGTATGAGATATGTATGAGCGACAGCAATTGTGTCTTTGTATTGGCATCAATGACATTTTTGGTCGAAATGTGCATCACGTGTAGTAAAATTGGTAACGTTAATGTTATTAAAAGATTATAGTCGGCGATAGCGTGAAAATGAATTAGCCCATCAAAAAAAAGTTTCCAAAAAACTAAAAATATAAGAACATGCAAATCCAGCACTGGAAAACTATTTAAGCCTACAATGAAGTAATGGATTATAGTCAATTTTAAATATCAACGGCTAGTTGCCAATGTATAAATGTTCATTGCTTTTTATTAAGAAAGGTCCTTACAATTGTACATTAGGCACATAAGCCACTTCTATTTATGTTCCTATGCTACTAAAGCTTAGGGAAGAGGTATGCTAAACACCATTATTTGGTTTCTGAAATTGCAAAAATAGTAAAAGTAATAAAGCCTTTCAAAATTAGGTTAATTTTATTGATAAAAAATTATAGGCTAATAAAATCTGGACACTTTAGTTTTGAATTGTCACTTGTGATATCATAATGATGTCTAAATCATGTAAAAAATTACGCATTTGACATAAAGTGTCCATTTCAAGCATGCATTTTGGTCATTATATGTATGAGCTTACCACACAAAAGTATTTACATACATTACCATCTTTACAAAATACTTTCCCCAGTAAATTATCTTTTTGGGTAAAGCTGTGAATCATATCTTAATATCAAAACCATATCTCAAAAGGATGCTATTTTGGGAGTTTAAGCTATTTTGCACTAAGTTTAATAACTTTAAATTCTAATGCTATATGTAAGACAAAATTCAAAATATTATTACTGGTTTTAGACTTATGTCTCATCGATATCTGTAGGATGTTATTTGGTAGATTTATAATACACTATTTGGGATTTTTTAAGCGGTCAAAAACAGTTGCATTATACTTAAGAATGTTGTTCAATATTCAATCAAAATCTTTGTTAAGTAGAACAGCCTAATAAAACAATGATTTCATTGGCTATTTCAGAAATTAAAATTATGTAATACAACCGATATGGATACTAGTTATAACATGACTGAATACAGAATATACCAAGCAGATATAGTTAACAAATAGTTTTCTCTTCTAATGTAACAGGAACAAGTTTCATTTTTCTGGATCGTAATGTGCATACAATATCACCAATTGTTTACACGTATACTGCCTCCAGTTTCACTAATCTAAGTTAATGACTTCATTTGTAAATACATACAGCACTAATTTTAGTTATGAAATTGTGGAAAACAATACGGTGGAAAATTCCCTTTCTCATACTTCTATGGATTTTAATTAATTATTCAAGAAATCAATCAAGACTGCACACTAGTATTACATGTACGTCCAGCCGGGAGATCAGAATATACAATGGACGAGATAAGTTACAAAATTCAAATATAAAAGATGCTTTGTTTTAGGCTTGATCTCTCTTCCTTTAGTCATTGGCAATAATTATTATTGGATTGGTTTTTATGTGTTTGCCCATGTACAGCAACAAATGATTGTAGGTGTGGACTTTCTTAAACCAAACAAAGTAGACCTAATGCATTCTTTGGAGTCAGTGTACTTTCCGGACAAAGATAATAACACAATCAATACTATAGAAGTGAATTCAGGATTGGCTAGAACTTCATGGGGAACAACAATTCCACCTTTTCATCAGGATGACATACCTATTACTGTTTCAAAAGTTCGAAATCAGGTTGCTCTTTTGGAACCCTTACCCTCTCTTCCACAAATGTCACATGCAGGCGCAAAATGTTGTGTTTCCCTACTTGAAACAAATAGGTCTATTCGTAGGATCATGAACCCCACTAAAGATAAAATCTTCCTTCCTTCCAATTATGTTGTGGCTTCTGTGTCTGCAGTGCAACCTGAAAATGTATTACCAATGTCCACCTCTATTGGCTTATCCCAACTGAAAGTACCAAAACAAAATGAAGAATGTGAAGAGTACTTAGATTTTGACCTGAATGATGCTGATCTCACTGATGAACAAAAACATCTTTTATAGTGCTTCCTAAATAGAAATCGTGAATTATTTGCTAAAGATTTAAGCGAACTAGGTCACACCCACCTATATAACCATGTCATAGATACAGGTGTTGCCCTGCCATTTAAAAAGCGCTTTATAGGTAGTCACCATAAATGAACCGACAGATTGATCAAATGTTAAAGTATGACATTATATAGGAATCAAATAGTAAATGGCAAAGCCCAGTGGACATGTGAAAAAAGAAATCATATGAATTAAGAATGTTTGTGGATTATAGGTCCTTTAACAAGATTAGTTGCCCAAAATTTTGTCCATTACCGAGGCTAGAGGATGTTTTTGACGCCCTTGGTCAAGCAGACGCCAACATATTTAGTACACTCGACCTTTTGTCAGGATATTGACAGTGTGGCCTTGACCCCGAAACAGCACATATAGCTGCCTTTGTCACCCCGAGTAGAGTATATAGGTGGAAACGTTTACCTTTTGGATGGCCTCAGCCCCATCTTGTTCTAACATTTATTGACTCAAGTTCTGAGAAATCTAAACTACAAAATTGGTCTCGTTTATGTCGATGACATTTTGGTCTTTAGCAAGTTCTTTGAACAGCATTTGGAACATCTGCAATTAGTATTTGACAGGCTCATTTCTGCAGGTCTTACTGTAAAGCCAAGCAAGTGTCTTTTCGCCCGGCCTGAGGTGGTATATCTTGGTCATAAGATTTTAAAAAAAGGAGCTCAGGCAGATATTT